AAAAAAAAAAAGATACTAATAATTCCAGCCTCCTCCAGCCCAGTGTTCATTTCTTCTCTCTTTATCCACCAGCGGACACCCACTGAGTGATTCTAAAGCAGTGGAAAGTAGGATGGGGCTCCTGCAGGTCACATCAGCCCACCTCTCCTGTTCATTGACCCAGTGAAATGAAAGGGTCCTTTCCCTGCCATTTGGAGGTGTGGGCTATGTGGGAGCTGAGGGCCCGGATCTGCACACCCACAGTCATCAGGCCCAGCATCCGCTGGGGCTTCCCACGTCATGGTCACTGAGATTCAGAGTCTTTACTTGGTCTCACCATCTCTGAGAAGAAGGTGCCCACAGACTAGACAAGGAGACTGAAATTCAAAAGCAGTGTCACTCCCCCCAAGATCACACAGTAGGTCACAGGGCCACAGCTCAAACAGCCCAGACCAAGGCCTTTTTGATCTACCTCCCCGGCCCTTGGCCCTTTTGTGTCTCCATAAGGCAGGGTCAGAGTTTGCATCTTACGCCCCCTCAGAGAGCACCTAACGCGCACACAAATACATGAGTACGTAACTGAAACAAAACGTGACCTTCACTGGGCGCCATGCATTCCTGTTTTCTGTTCCAGCCTATTTCTGTTTGTTCCGTGCTACTCATAAAATTGATAACCTAAATTGGGACACTTGCAAGTGAAAGAGAGGCACTGTCCACCACTACGTGGAGGCCACAGGCATAAACTGGATCTGTCCAGAGCACACCAGGATGTGTCATCACCCTGATCATGACCCGCCATGTCGATCTTGAGACCCGCGGTTCGGGAACTTCTGCCTAGCTATGCTGAGCCACCCATCTCATTCTGTCTCCTTGACTCGGGTCTTTTCTTTCTTTCTTGTAGGTTTGAACGGTTCCGAACAGGCCAGACCGCCAAGGTGAGAGGGGTAAAAGTCTTCTTTTCTGTGACTGGGTCACGCCATACTCGTGGGAAGGATGGCTGTTCTCTCCCCCCACATCTGGACAGGATAGCGCTTTCACGTCCAGCTCTCAGACAAGTCCCCTTCTAATGTTTTCTGCCACTGCCCCCTTAAGGTAGATGAGCCTGTGCCACCAGCTGATGCCCAAGGGTCTTGCCAGCTTCCCAGTGGGTCCAGGTAGCTGGAGCCAAATGGAAGGAAGAAAAGCCCTGGTGACAGATCCTAGGGCACAGTGCTTGGGGCAGAAGCGAATAAGGCTGCAGGCAAGGAGGATGATCAGGGCCTCTCCCTCCTCCCCCAGGCCCCAGGTGAGGCCGAGCTGGCAGGTGACCTGATCGACATGGGTCCTGACCCAGCGGCCACCAGCACCCTCTCCTCCCAGCTGGCGGGAATGAGTAAGTGTGATGTGGGGGCTTTGGCCAAGGGTACATTATGGTGCTGTGGTGGTCACCCCCACAGTTCTGGGATCCCCTCCATTGTACACCAATAGCAGAACACTGGTCCAGACTCCACCTCACTGGGGTCTCAACCCAAACCTTGCTGCAAGGTTGAGCATTCAGGACAACTGCCTCTGGCAACCCCAAAATTCCTGAGTCCCCTTGGATCTCAGAAATCCCAGCATCCTGTGGTTTTCCCTCTACACTGAATTCTCGATCTGAGTGAGCTTGGGCAAGTTACTTGAACTTCTTGAGCTCTCTTTCCTCCTTTGTGACAGGAGTGGAGATGGGCCCTTCCTCCCAGGTCACTGCGAGGCTGAGTAGTCTCACACGTGGGAGGTGCTTCGACCACACCAGGCCCTGGCTCACCCTGGATGAGCACTGGCAGTCATCACCCTCATCACTGTGATCAGTGTTAATAGCACTGACTGCCTGCTTCATGCTATGCCTTAGGAAATCATTAAAATCCCATTCCCATTTCGAATCACTACTACTACACTTTTTGAAAAATCTACTATACATCTGATCACTGTCCTCCTGCCCAGCCTTAAGCAGACGTGACAAGCAGTGTTTTACCTGCATTCTGTGACCCTCACAGCAGACCTAGTGGGGTGACAGTATCTCACTTTAGAAGTAAGCAAACCGGCTAGGCGCCTATAGCTCAACCGGCTAAGGAGCCAGCCACGTACACCTAAGGTGGCGGGTTCGAATCCCCAGCCCGGACCCGCCAAACAACAATGACAGCTGCAACCAAAAAAAATAGCCGGGTGTTGTGGCAGGCGCCTGTGGTCCCAGCTACTTGGGAGGCAGAGGCAGGAGACTCGCTTGAGCCCAGGAGTTGGAGGTTGCT